GTGTGTATATATATATATATATATATATTATATACACACACACACACACACACACACAGAGAGAGAGATAATAATTAAATATGTAAAAAAGATGAAAAAGTAGTCAATAAAATAAAATACTCAATAATTATAATTTAACATTATTATTTTGTGGCCCAAGCTTGCTAAATCCAGTGGTTTGGTGTGGAAACAGCAGATTTGAGGCGAAGCCTGCGCACAGGTCTCAGGTCAGACGCTGTCGGGTGTGTTGTGACGGGACGCTTGAGTGAAGTGAACGGCGCTTGAGACGCTAAATAACTTCTAGTTGGTTCAATAGAGGAGAATTAAGGAAAGCGCCCAAGTCGCTAATGGGAATGAATGGGAGGCATCAGCCGGGGTCAAACACGCACCACAGGATCAATGCACGGGTGCAGGTGTACTGCGCCACAACCAGAGAACACGCTAACGAGAGAGAGAGAGAAAATTATGATTTAGTCATTCTGTCAAAAACAAAAGAGGGACTACAACAGCTCCTCGACATCATAGAGACATTCAGTCAAACATGGGCTCTCAAAATCAACCTCGCAAAAACAAAAATAATGGTTTTTCAAAAGAGACCCAGGTGTAAGGAAAATAAACACTTTCAGAGCGGGAAACCAGGTCCTCCAACACAGCCATGAATACAGCTATCTGGGACTAAGAATCAGCTCAACAGGGAACTTCAATCTGGCTGTGAATTAACTGAAAGCAAAGGCACTGAGAGTATTCTACATGATCAAAAATACAATTCAATTTGAAATTCGAACCAATCGCTCTTTACGGCAGTGAGATATGGGGACCCCTAAAAACCCAAGCTTTCTCCAAATGGGAAAAAAGAAGAAATTGAAATTATGCATACCCAAATTTGTAAAAGCATCTTAAAAGTTAACAGAGCATCCCGAAACAACTCGTGCAGCGCTGAATTAGGACAATACCCATTATTAATTAGTATTCAAAAGAGAGCTGTGAAATTCCAGCAGCACCTGAGATGCAGTGACGCGAGCTCTTACCAGACTGAAGCCCTGCAGTGGCAGGAGCAGAACCTGCAGAAGAGTGCCCTTCTACAGCTGGTGCTCAAACTACACCCAAACCAGCACAGCACAATCCGGCCCAACCACACCACACAGCTACAAAAACACAATTACATTGCTTACTGGAAAGATGCCACTAAATTACAAAAGAAGATGGAGCTGTATTTAGACCTGAACAGAGACTACAAACCAACAGAATACCTGAGCTGTGTAAAAGATCACAAATTAAGACAGACACTGACAAAATACAGACTGAGTGATCACTGTCTGGCTATAGAGAGAGGACGACACAGACAGAGATGGCAGCCACGAGAACAGAGACTGTGTTCACTGTGCTCACAGAAAGAGCTGGAAACAGAGGAACATTTCTTACTGCACTGTGATTACTATCACGACATTAAAGCTGCAGATTTCCCCAAATTCCTACAAATTAAACCACATTTTATGGCATTACCAAATACAGAAAAATTAAGTAACATTTTAGGGGAAGATTCCAAAATGATCCCCACAGCAGCAAGATATGTATCAGCCCGTCACAAACTAAGACTGTCAGCCAGTGGACAAAACTGAAGCAAGAGCATTTCTTACATGTACTGTTGTGCAATTTATTTATTTTTATATTTTTAAACAATGTCTTTCATATTTTTCTTGTTTTTTTTTTTTGTTTGTGGGGGAAAAAAGTGCACATGTACTTATTTACTTAATTATTTTACAGATCGTTTCTTGTTTTATGTATTATATAATCGTTTATTCCTTATTCCTGTTATGGACAATGCTTTGGCAACACTGTGCAAGTCATGCCAATAAAGCTCATTTGAATTTGAGAGAGAGAGAGAGAGAGAGAGAGAGACATAGAGAGAATCTGTTTCCATTACGATTGCGAGCGTGTTTCTGTGTGGACAGTCTAATGAAATCCAGCACGAGTATCAGTCTAATAAAAGCATTATAACGCCTCCTACTCTAATTACCACATAATGGGGTTTGTTTATTAGACATATATTACTGCCACGGCTATTCAAACAGTAAAGCGTGTCATGGTTTCAAATGTAAACGTCAAAATGATTACAATAAATAAAACCTCTAATTAATATGATTGAAAATATTAGAACAAATACATGGAACAAGTGTCTTGCATGTACAGCTATTGTTTGGCGATATGCTGTTAAACATGCTAATAAATCTATAGTATTTAAGAACTTACAGAACTATAGCGTGCAATAAAACCCTTGTAAATTTGCGTCACAGACATTTTTGTGCAAGCGAACATAAATAATCCACAGATATGCAACAAGAAGAGGCTATTAGGGTTAAAATACCTACAATTACATAAAACAAATTCAATAAAATAAATGAAAAATATATAAAATATGAATATAATATAATAAAATGTATATTTGCAAATGTGACCCCCGGCCATCTAAAATTTAAAACGTGTGAACTAATTGTAATGTATTGATCAAATGATCTAATATGTGTCATGCAATACAATGATTATTATGTAGTATTACTCTTTTCAGCAATATAATAAAACCGTTCGTCTCTTTCTTATTATCTTTCATATTGTGAAGGAATGCTTGAATGTGGCTGGATTCCTGCAAGCGTGATTCATGAGTGACACACAGAGCTTCCCTGCCCTCTAGTGTTCAATCACGTGACACTACAATCCCTCACAATTAATCAGAAGATGCATTTAAGTATTTGTAATAATCAACTATTATTTCATTATAATAAATATGATTATGTAATATATTTTAATATTATGTATTTCATATTTATATTTTACATGCACTTTAAGCAAGATGTGTTAACAATGCAGTCAAAACTCAGAAGTATTTTGATAACTATTTAATAACTTCATGGTTGTAGATTAAGATGACATTAATCTCAATACTCAAAAATGTGAATATGAACGGCTCAGAATTAAATCAAAACTACATTAATCAGTTTTTCATATTCTTTTTTGTCTAACTTCTCTTTTTTTCTGAAAAATCAATTAGATTTAAGTGTTTTTGAAAGAAGTCTATTATGCTTAACCAGGCTGCATTTATTTGACCAAAAATACAGTAAAACAGTTATATTGTGAAATGTTACCACCAGTGTTGTTATTGTTAAATAAATATAGAACTATTCACAATATAAGACAGAAAAAAAACAAATGAAAAGAAATGTTGCCTTGGCAACTAATTGAAAAAGTATTAAAATTACTAATAAATAAAAAATTTATATAAAAAAAAAGCATAAAAGTATATAAATAATACTAAAGCAACACTGATTGTTACAATTTAAAAGAACTGTTTTCTATGTGAATATATGTTCAAATGTAATCTATTTCTGTGATGCAAAGTTGAATTTTCAGCATCATTATTCACATGATCTTCAGAAATCATTCCAAGATGCTGATTTGCTGCTCAATTATCAATTATTATTGGTGCTCAATTATTAATAATGGTTCTTATTATTAGCAATGTTGCAAACAGTTCTATTTCTAATGAACAGAAAGCTAAAAACACTTGAAATGCTAAAATAGCATTCACTTGTCTTTTGTAACATAAATGTCTTTAATGTCACTTAATGCATCCTAACTGAATAAAAGTATTTATTTTGAACGGTAGTGTACACTATGTATAAAACCCTTCAGAATCAGAAACAGTGACAACTTCAAATCCTCCAAAGAAAACAGCACTTCATCTCAAATACACTGAAATATGTGCTTCTGTTTGTTAGCTGAAGGCTGTATTTGCATAGATGTGAGGAACCTTTATCATAGTGGTGTTGGATTATTAACTGTCTTTAAATGAAATCAGTATCGCCAAGTGTCTTTAATAAGAGCCTGATAATTCTTTAGATTGCCTTTCAAATCACAGTAATCAGTCTAAAGCATTTATGAAGAATTATAGAGTATTTAGATTCACATTTATTTTTAAGACATCAGCATCTAATAATTTAAATGCTAATGTTGACTGATGTTTCAGTGAGAATACATAAATAATGCTGTAGTGCCACTTACTGGACACACACTGCAATGCAGTGCCTGCAGCGGAACCCAGCTGATTATGCTCGAACTGTCTTTGATTATAAAACAAAACATTTAAAAAAAAGGGGTGATTATCATGTAGCGTAGCTTACTAAGCACTATGACGCTGCCTTTACTGTAGGTCAGTAATAATAATGGCAGATGCAGCAGGCCTGTGGTGAGCTCTGATTGAATTCTGGGACTCACCGATGCCAGAGTTTGCTCCGGTAATCACCACCACCTTATCAGACAGGTCACAGTCCTGCAGGATCTCCAGAGCCGTGGTGTTCCCATCGTAGCGCTTGGGTTTCACCTGCATGTCCTCTACGGTGAAGGCCTGCCGAGGGTCAAAATATGTTGTGCGTTTGTTGATGTGGCTGATGAGAAGAGAATAGAGAAACATTACAAACCAGAAGCGCTGAACAGCAGAGAAGCCATAACACACATGAACACATTTTTTTATATATTAAAATATAATATATATGTGTGTGTGCGTGTGTGAGTATGTATTGTCACGAGAGAAGCAAACGACAGACACAGTGGGTGTGGCGTCAGGCCTCAGACAGGCTTTTATTTACAGAAAATAAACAGTGTCCAGAAAAGGAAATAAAGTGTCCAAAACAGGGGATCTGGTGTCCTCGTCGTGCTGCGGGGGTTAGTGAAGGTGGGGCAGTGTTCGAGTAGGAAGGGTCCAGGTAAGGGGCGGAGTCCGGCGGCCGCACGCGCTCCCCTCTTGGTCCCGGGGCGGGAGGGGCGGCGGCTTCATTCAGCAGCTTCATCCTTCTCTCTCGGCCCACGGCGCTTGAAGGGACTGGACGGCCCGGCATCCTGGCCCGACGGCCGTGTAACGCGTGCGGTTCTCGTCCGGACTGCGGGTCCGGTAGCTCACGACTCTGACAGCACGGGAGTCCCTCTACGCACCCTTCCTGGACCCACGAGGACACCAGTGTGCATGCACGGGTAAGAGATCGGTCTCCCGAAGAGAGGCGCGCTCGGCATTTAAACAGTGGCGGTGATGAGGCCCCATTTGGTTCAGGTGTGCCCCATCACACGCCACCAGCCCTGGCTATTTCAGCGCCCCTCCTTTCACACGCACCCAATCCTATCGGGAGCCTGGCGAAGGGCGGCGATTAAGGGACGGGGTGATGATGATAATTAGGGGGAGGCAGCCGACTCGTCACATTCCCCCCCACCAAGCGACATCCCCGTCATCAGGCCGCCACCCACACGGGAGTGCTACCATCCTCAACCAGGCTCCAAGCGGTCGGAGTGGGCGGGGCGGGGATTCCTCTCCGGGCAGTTCTCCCTCTCGCACCACGCCGGAACAGGGACAGAGAAACCGGGTTTTAGTCGACAGCCTCAACCAACCACAGGGTAAATGACAATAGACGAAACGTCACTTACCCCTTTTGCAGCTGAGAGGCCGTCTCCGTCGTTCCTCCGTCCCAGTCCGGGTTTTCACTAGCTTTCGCCAGCGAGAGGGGATGACGTCATCAGGTGTTCCCCAACTGTGCTGTCGAGGCTCCGCCTTGCCTGCATTCTCCACCAATTGTCACGGGAGGAGCAAACAACAGACACAGTGGGTGTGGCGTCAGGCCTCGGAGAGGCTTTTATTTACAGAAAATGTCCAGAAAAGGAAATAAAGTGTCCAAAATAAACAGGGGATCTGGTGTCCTCGTCGTGCTGCGGGGTTAGTGAAGGTGGGGCAGTGTTCGAGTAGGAAGGGTCCAGGTAAGGGGCGGAGTCCGGCGGCCGCACGCGCTCCCCTCTTGGTCCCGGGGCGTGAGGGGCGGCGGCTTCATTCAGCAGCTTCATCCTTCTCTCTCGGCCCACGGCGCTTGAAGGGACTGGACGGCCCGGCATCCTGGCCCGACGGCCGTGTAACGCGTGCGGTTCTCGTCCGGACTGCGGGTCCGGTAGCTCACGACTCTGACAGCACGGGAGTCCCTCTACGCACCCTTCCTGGACCCACGAGGACACCAGTGTGCATGCACGGGTAAGAGATCGGTCTCCCGAAGAGAGGCGCGCTCGGCATTTAAACAGTGGGGCGAAGGGCGGCGATTAAGGGACGGGGTGATGATGATAATTAGGGGGAGGCAGCCGCCTCGTCACATTCCCCCCCACCAAGCGACATCCCCGTCATCAGGCCGCCACCCACACGGGAGTGCTACCATCCTCAACCAGGCTCCAAGCGGTCGGAGTGGGCGGGGCGGGGATTCCTCTCCGGGCAGTTCTCCCTCTCGCACCACGCCGGAACAGGGACAGAGAAACCGGGTTTTAGTCGACAGCCTCAACCAACCACAGGGTAAATGACAATAGACGAAACGTCACTTACCCCTTTTGCAGCTGAGAGGCCGTCTCCGTCGTTCCTCCGTCCCAGTCCGGGTTTTCACTAGCTTTCGCCAGCGAGAGGGGATGACGTCATCAGGTGTTCCCCAACTGTGCTGTCGAGGCTCCGCCTTGCCTGCATTCTCCACCAATTGTCACGGGAGGAGCAAACAAGCAAACAACTGGGTGTGGCGTCAGGCCTCGGAGAGGCTTTTATTTACAGAAAATGTCCAGAAAAGGAAATAAAGTGTCCAAGTGTCCAAGGGGATCTGGTGTCCTCGTCGTGCTGCGGGGTTAGTGAAGGTGGGGCAGTGTTCGAGTAGGAAGGGTCCAGGTAAGGGGCGGAGTCCGGCGGCCGCACGCGCTCCCCTCTTGGTCCCGGGGCGTGAGGGGCGGCGGCTTCGTTCAGCAGCTTCATCCTTCTCTCTCGGCCCACGGCGCTTGAAGGGACTGGACGGCCCGGCATCCTGGCCCGACGGCCGTGTAACGCGTGTGGTTCTCGTCCGGACCGCGGGTCCGGTAGCTCATGACTCTGGCGGCACGGGAGTCCCTCTACGCACCCTTCCTGGACTCACGAGGACACCAGCGTGCATGCACGGGGAAGAGACCGGTCTCCCGAGGAGAGGCGAGCTCAGCATTTAAACAGTGGTGGTGATGAGGCTCCATTCGGTTCAGGTGCTCCCCATCACACGCCACCAGCCCTGGCTATTTCAGCGCCCATCCTCTCTCACGCACCCACTCCTGTCGAGAGCCTGGCAAAGGGCGGCAATTATGGGACAGGGTGATGATGATAATTAGGGGGAGGCAGCCAACTCGTCACACTTGATACAGATAACATAATCAGGGAGTATTTAATTTCGTTTTGAATTGGTTCATTTAGATGTAGACATTTCAAGCTTTGTATATATATTTTTTGTACTGTATGTGAGACAGCCACATGCTTTCTTTTTTTGAGACGCGCTCCAGTTCAGAGGTGGCAGAAAGCCCATGTCAGGGAGGCAGCGGGCGCCTCCCTGACATGCATGAGCAAAAATATTTGAGTCTGTTTATTATTTCAAGTCTTTACTTCTGTATGGCCAAAATAGCTGCTCAGTTTGAAACGCTCATGAGCCATCAGACACTCTACATATGAAAGAGCAGCATTTCACGCCTTTGCAGCCCCCACGATGGAGCTCAACTGTCCAAAACCCCAACCCCCTCCACTGACACACTATTTTCCTAATTAATGCTGTTCAGTTACAGAAAATAAACAGTGTCCAGAAAAGGAAATAAAGTGTCCAAAACAGGGGATCTGGTGTCCTCGTCGTGCTGCGGGGGTTAGTGAAGGGGGGGCAGTGTTCGAGTAGGAAGGGTCCAGGTAAGGGGCGGAGTCCGGCGGCCGCACGCGCTCCCCTCTTGGTCCCGGGGCGGGGGGGGCGGGGGCTTGGCTCTCGGCCCACGGCGCTTGAAGGGACTGGACGGCCCGGCATCCTGGCCCGACGGCCGTGTAACGCGTGCGGTTCTCGTCCGGACTGCGGGTCCGGTAGCTCACGACTCTGACAGCACGGGAGTCCCTCTACGCACCCTTCCTGGACCCACGAGGACACCAGTGTGCATGCACGGGTAAGAGATCGGTCTCCCGAAGAGAGGCGCGCTCGGCATTTAAACAGTGGCGGTGATGAGGCCCCATTTGGTTCAGGTGTGCCCCATCACACGCCACCAGCCCTGGCTATTTCAGCGCCCCTCCTTTCACACGCACCCAATCCTATCGGGAGCCTGGCGAAGGGCGGCGATTAAGGGACGGGGTGATGATGATAATTAGGGGGAGGCAGCCGACTCGTCACATTCCCCCCCACCAAGCGACATCCCCGTCATCAGGCCGCCACCCACACGGGAGTGCTACCATCCTCAACCAGGCTCCAAGCGGTCGGAGTGGGCGGGGCGGGGATTCCCCTCCGGGCAGTTCTCCCTCTCGCACCACGCCGGAACAGGGACAGAGAAACCGGGGTTTAGTCGACAGCCTCAACCAACCACAGGGTAAATGACAATAGACGAAACGTCACTTACCCCTTTTGCAGCTGAGAGGCCGTCTCCGTCGTTCCTCCGTCCCAGTCCGGGTTTTCACTAGCTTTCGCCAGCGAGAGGGGATGACGTCATCAGGTGTTCCCCAACTGTGCTGTCGAGGCTCCGCCTTGCCTGCATTCTCCACCAATTGTCACGGGAGGAGCAAACAACAGACACAGTGGGTGTGGCGTCAGGCCTCGGAGAGGCTTTTATTTACAGAAAATGTCCAGAAAAGGAAATAAAGTGTCCAAAATAAACAGGGGATCTGGTGTCCTCGTCGTGCTGCGGGGTTAGTGAAGGTGGGGCAGTGTTCGAGTAGGAAGGGTCCAGGTAAGGGGCGGAGTCCGGCGGCCGCACGCGCTCCCCTCTTGGTCCCGGGGCGTGAGGGGCGGCGGCTTCGTTCAGCAGCTTCATCCTTCTCTCTCGGCCCACGGCGCTTGAAGGGACTGGACGGCCCGGCATCCTGGCCCGACGGCCGTTTAACGCGTGCGGTTCTCGTCCGGACTGAGGGTCCGGTAGCTCACGACTCTGACGGCACGGGAGTCCCTCTACGCACCCTTCCTGGACCCACGAGGACACCAGTGTGCATGCACGGGGAAGAGACCGGTCTCCCGAGGAGAGGCGCGCTCGGCATTTAAACAGCGGCGGTGATGAGGCCCCATTTGCATAATAAAATAATAAAACGGACACATTCCTAAATGAGACCTGAATGTCTCTAATTGCCCAGGTGTGACGGATCTGAATAAAGTTTTCTATTTTAACTTCTATTTAAGTTTTATTATTATTATTAGTTAGGGGCTGTAGCCCCTATTGTTTCCGTTGGTTTTCTTCTTATTATTCCTCCCCACTGGGAGTCTATGCCTATCGGGAGCCTGGCGAAGGGCGGCGATTAAGGGACGGGGTGATGATGATAATTAGGGGGAGGCAGCCGACTCGTCACATTCCCCCCCACCAAGCGACATCCCCGTCATCAGGCCGCCACCCACACGGGAGTGCTACCATCCTCAACCAGGCTCCAAGCGGTCGGAGTGGGCGGGGCGGGGATTCCTCTCCGGGCAGTTCTCCCTCTCGCACCACGCCGGAACAGGGACAGAGAAACCGGGTTTTAGTCGACAGCCTCAACCAACCACAGGGTAAATGACAATAGACGAAACGTCACTTACCCCTTTTGCAGCTGAGAGGCCGTCTCCGTCGTTCCTCCGTCCCAGTCCGGGTTTTCACTAGCTTTCGCCAGCGAGAGGGGATGACGTCATCAGGTGTTCCCCAACTGTGCTGTCGAGGCTCCGCCTTGCCTGCATTCTCCACCAATTGTCACGGGAGGAGCAAACAACAGACACAGTGGGTGTGGCGTCAGGCCTCGGAGAGGCTTTTATTTACAGAAAATGTCCAGAAAAGGAAATAAAGTGTCCAAAATAAACAGGGGATCTGGTGTCCTCGTCGTGCTGCGGGGTTAGTGAAGGTGGGGCAGTGTTCGAGTAGGAAGGGTCCAGGTAAGGGGCGGAGTCCGGCGGCCGCACGCGCTCCCCTCTTGGTCCCGGGGCGTGAGGGGCGGCGGCTTCGTTCAGCAGCTTCATCCTTCTCTCTCGGCCCACGGCGCTTGAAGGGACTGGACGGCCCGGCATCCTGGCCCGACGGCCGTTTAACGCGTGCGGTTCTCGTCCGGACTGAGGGTCCGGTAGCTCACGACTCTGACGGCACGGGAGTCCCTCTACGCACCCTTCCTGGACCCACGAGGACACCAGTGTGCATGCACGGGGAAGAGACCGGTCTCCCGAGGAGAGGCGCGCTCGGCATTTAAACAGCGGCGGTGATGAGGCCCCATTTGCATAATAAAATAATAAAACGGACACATTCCTAAATGAGACCTGAATGTCTCTAATTGCCCAGGTGTGACGGATCTGAATAAAGTTTTCTATTTTAACTTCTATTTAAGTTTTATTATTATTATTAGTTAGGGGCTGTAGCCCCTATTGTTTCCGTTGGTTTTCTTCTTATTATTCCTCCCCACTGGGAGTCTATGGCAGCCCTATGAACCGTAAGTAGGAAAATGATGAAATTTGGCACACTTATAGTGATTGCCATAAATAGTGACCTGACCAAATTTGGGGTCCCTAGGACCAACTCTATAGCACCACCACCAGATCAAAAATTCACTTTTCAAATGGTTATAACTTTTGAACCCTTTGATCTAGAAATATGAAACCTAGTACACGTGATTCTCCTCATGCTGATCACATTCAATAGCTTACTTTAAGACTCCACGAAAATTGGCTCAGATGATCTTTGGAGTGGCACAGAAATAATTGAACAGATTTTTTATATTAATTTTCGTTCGAAAGTTATGACGTCACAAACTTCTGGAAGTTGACCTAAAATTGGTTCAGAGGCTGTATCTCGGCCAAACTTTGATCAATTGAAATGAAACTCGGTATGCTACATCAACACCGTGATCTGAGGGTCCATGCCAAAGTTGGGAACAGCGCCACCTACGGATCATGAGATATCAAAAATATACTTTTTTGCTTATAACTTTGGAACATTTAGTCAGAAAATCGTGATCTTGGTGTCTATGCATTCCTTGGGTCATGCCAAATCCGTGCAATATCTTTTGAACTATTTGACATATCGGCACAAAAATGTAAAGGTATCACTGACAACATGTCCCAGAGGACATAATGTGTAATTTTGATTCCTTGATTTTTTTTAGCTACTTATTGAACTCATGGAACACTTGAAATGTGTCCCCGATGTGGCTGCTTGCAGCTATATTTAGTATTATTATTATTAAATAGGTGTGGTCCAGACTACTGAATTAGCATATTAATTATTAATGATTTCATATATTCATGTATTATTAATGATCTCAATTCGCTCATTATTTATGATCCTATCCTTTTTTCTGACAAAATACTACACACTGTATAATATATTCTATTGCTACAATATAATATAATATAAAAACTAAGTTTTAAAACAATTTATTTTATTTGCTGGTTAATTAATTTATCACAGTATTTATCATTGTGATATCTCTGCATGTATCTGCTTGTGTACAAGAATAATTTTCCAGGAAGAAAATATTGCAAATATTTAATGTGCATATCTGCTAATTTTTTTTGTTTTGTCAAATGTATTACATTTATTATTTATTTTGACATTTAAATTAATTATTAATTAGCCTAAAAGCTAGGAGACACATACAAAAAGCTCACATAACGACTTAAGGGAAACTATAATATATTATATTATTCACTGCAGCAAAATATACTTCCTTCAAACACAATCCATAAAGTGAAATTATGAGAAGAAAATCATTCACTGAAATCATATTCACTGAACTCACTCAACATAGAAGCCTTGGCCTTTATCATCGGTCTCCTGCTCCCATCCATATGGCAAAGCTAAAAAATTATTAAAATAAAATACATTTTGCAATTTACTTAATCGTTTAGTTATTCTTCATCACTGCTTATCAAAACAGGTCAAGTTCTGCACACTTCATTCATGTTTCTTAATCATACTGAGATCAATATTTAAGTGTGACTGATGGCTGAATATTCATCTTACCTCCAGCACAGCGTTTCTTCTTCCCAGTTTTGGGATGCTCCCATTGAGTCTTCATTTCCTCGTGGCTGAAATGAATTATGATATTTGATTGCTAATGTCATGTGTCAATCATTCTATAAATCCCATCAGAAACACGCTTGGGTTGCTATACACTCCCATTTCTGGCATTAATGGCAGAAATGAAAAGTGTAAATGCACATGTTTATCTCAAACATGTGTGTGTGTGTGTGAGTGAGTGAGCGTGTGTGAGTGAGCGTGCGTGCGTGAGCGTGTGTGTGAGCGTGTGTGTGTGAGTGAGTGAGCGTGTGTGTGTGAGTGTGCGTGTGTGTGAGCGTGAGTGAGCGCGTGCGTGTGAGTGTACGCGTTTTTGTGACAAATGAGGACATCAATTTGTATAATGACTGAGGTATGACATAGCTATTACAAGGAGAAGGTGACTTTTCAGGACATTACCCCATGTCCCCACTTTTCAAAACGCTTATAAATCACACAGAATGGAGTGTATTGAAAATCTGAAATAGCACAAAGTCTCCTGTGAGGGGTAGGTTTAGGGGTAGGGTTGGTAAAGGGCAATAGAATATACGGTCTGTACAGTAGAAAAACCATTACGCCTATGGGATGTCCCCACTTTTCACAAATGTAAACCTGAGTGAGCGTGTGTGTGTGTGTGTGTGTGAGCGTGTGTGAGTGAGTGAGCGTGTGTGTGTGAGTGAGCGTGTGTGTGTGAGTGAGCGTGTGTGTGTGTGTGTGTGAGTGTGTGTGTGAGCGTGTGTGTGAGTGTGTGAGTGAGCGTGTGTGTGTGTGAGTGAGTGAGTGAGTGAGTGAGTGTGTGTGAGTGAGTGAGTGAGCGTGTGTGTGTGTGAGTGAGTGAGTGAGTGTGCGTGCGTGTGAGTGGTGTGTGTGAGCGTGTGTGGTGCGTGTGAGTGAGCGAGCGAGCGAGCGAGCGTGTGTGTGTGAGCGTGCGTGTGTGAGTGAGTGAGCGTGTGTGAGTGAGTGAGCGTGTGTGAGTGAGTGAGCGTGTGTGAGTGAGTGAGCGTGTGTGTGGTGTGTGAGCGTGCGTGTGTGTTGTGTGTGTGAGTGAGCGTGTGTGTGAGTGAGCGAGCGTGTGTGTGTGAGTGTGTGTGTGAGAGTGAGTATGTGTGTGTGAGTGTGTGTGAGTGTGAGTGTGAGTGTGAGTGTGTGAGTGAGTGAGCGTGCGTGTGAGCGTGTGTGTATGAGTGAGCGAGCGTGCGTGTGTTGTATGTGTGTATGAGTGAGTGAGTGAGCGTGTGTGTATGAGTGAGCGAGCGTGCGTGTGGTGTGTGTGTGTATGAGAGAGTGAGTGAGCGTGTGTGTATGAGTGAGCGAGCGTGCGTGTGGTGTGTGTGTGTATGAGAGAGTGAGTGAGCGTGTGTGTATGAGTGAGCGAGCGTGCGTGTGTTGTATGTGTGTATGAGTGAGTGAGTGAGCGTGTGTGTGTGAGTGAGCGAGCGTGTGTGTGTGAGGGTGTGTGTGAGTGAGTGAGCGTGCGTATGTGTGTGTGAGTGAGTGAGTGAGCGTGTGTATGAGTGAGTGAGTGAGCGAGCGAGCGTGTGTGTGTGAGCGTGCGTGTGTTGTGTGTGTATGAGTGAGTGAGCGTGCGT